ATAACCCAATTATTCATTTGATGTATTTTCTGTTGAATTATTTAACACCTTCTTTTCTATCTTAACATATAATCTACTTTAGAAATACCACTACTGATCAGGTTACCAAATTTTAAATCGTATGTTCAGATTCATTTATTTAAAATCTGTGATGTTTACCTGAGAAGCAATAAAGGCAGACTCAATTTCTGATAAATTAATGCATGAATATTAATATAGCAGATGTTTTTTAAAGTGCTTGCCAAAACTGATGATGTTTAAACCAGGACATTTGGCAAAAACAAAGCAAGAAGCTCATGAAAGTATCTGTAAAGGAATAATAGTTTTCTGACTTCTAACAGCTTAATTCTTTATAGATTTGGAAGTAAAGTTTGCTTTGCTGATAGCTTGTTGAGCTGTGAATTCTTGATTGTGCACCTTATCCTGTGCTTTCAGGAGAGTGCTCACTGCTGTACGGAGCAAACATGAGCAAAGGTTGAAAGCATGAAGTATGAAGAACGTGTAGCTATAGTGTTCCTCAGAAGTAAGAGTCTATCTCACTTTGCTATGCACACTTTGCAAGGCAAAATCTCTGTTTAATGGTTAAGGATAGAAGTTTGAGACATGGGGAAGGAGGGAGCAGGAGAAAGGGTGGCAGTTTATTTTAAAAGACATATTAAAACCTGTACTTAGTTTGTGTCTGTTTTGTACCATTCAAATTAGCTAAATGGTGGTGCATTTGTTTTAATGTACTTACCCAAGCAATCTGTCTGCTAGTTGCTAGTTTTTACTTACAGATTGAATTTTGGTGCCATCATCTGTTGAGAATGTATAATGGCAACATGGGCTGGTGGATCCTGAAACATCTCAGATTACACTGCATTGCTTGTTGCATGTTTTGCATGTAACTTCAATTCTTGTACTCATAGAAAGGCCTTATATATGCTGTTTTTAAAATATATATATTTATATATATTTATATATACTCTGTAGCAGTCATTGTCTTTTGGGTTGGTTGTCACACATGAAAACCGAAAGCAGAAGTTTTACAAGGTGATGAATGGGACAAGGTGAACTACATAATAGTGTCTCTAAGTTGTGTTTTTGTAGCCACTTTGTCAAAAACAGTCTTTTCTGAAATTTTGCAGAAAGATTGTGTGTTGTAGTTTGGAAACTTCTTTCTGTTTTGTTTTGGTGAAGAGTTTCATGAACAAAACTATTTGAGCACAGTTAACACTGACTTAATTCTGCAGCTTTAGAAACTGCACCTAAAGCTTCCATCTACTTTTCTGGGAGTATTCTGTGTTCTCCTCAATAATAGCAATTACAGAAGGAGATATGAGTAGTTTCTTTGCATTTAAATTCAGAAGATCATCCAGAGACAAGAAGCTTCAATGTGAGTCTTAATTGCTGGCAGTAGATGCATAGAGTGCATCAAACTTCTCTAGCTGTGATCTGAGGTGATAGGAAGGTTCCTTTTTATATATGTAGAATATGTAATAATGAATATGGTCATTGTCATTGGGTGATGAACTTCTTTCCATTCATCACTTCATTCTCAGCCTCAGTTACCAATTTTCTTCATATTTGATGAAGAACAATTCAGACCTAAATTCCTGAAGTTTGAGTGAAAGTCTGTGTCTGAGTTGACTGTATTTGGGTAAAAGTCAGTACCTCACCTTCAGGCAGACATATCTGGCAGGTGTATCTGCTTCTCTTCGTTGGCAGTAGTATGAGCTCAGACAGACTCAGCTGGAAATGCTACAATAGTGATTTGAGCTTTGCTAAAAATGGCTCATGTGTAATATCTCCGTGTTGTCACAAAAGAAACTCCATGATGAATATCTACAAAATCCTACCAAAATAAATAATCTACAAAATATGTGTTATAACTCAGTGAAAGGTCTGTGCTGCACTTTAAGCTGCGCAGGTGAACTCAAAACTTGTCACTTTTTTTTGCACTCTCTTAATCTTCCTGTTTATTCTGTGCTTCATTAAAGTCAATCTCTGCAGGACAAACTGTCACTCAGGCTGGGCCTGTCCTGCTGCTCGCAGCCTCTGGGGAGCACCCTTCATCCTGATAAATGGTCTATGAGGAGAGCACATGTCAGAGAGAAACCCTCTGCGAAGCTAAATAGATTAGTCTCTTCCCTCTGAACGGTCTCAGTGGAATGCAGCAGGCACAATCGTTAAAGCAGATTTAGAATAAGACACTGAGTTTGGAAAGATACAGATTGGTTCTAGTAAATTTTTAAAGGGAAAACTTGCAGCATGAAGCTTTCACCACCAGAACAGACACTGTGTTGGCCCAGCAGAAAGAAATTGTTCTTGTTGGCTTTTTCATGGAGTTTTTGCTTCACTGGAAATCGGGGTGACCTCAGTTATTTTACAACACTGGCTCTATTTTTTCATCTGGTACTTAGTGAGCTGCTGCGTTTGGTCTAAAGGAGTATGCCTTTAGTTAGGATAAGCTTAGCCAGGCCTCTCAATTCTTAGTGTCAATACTTTTACTATCACATCCCTTTTCCTGTATTACTGAGTGGGAATGGAGAAGAAGGGCTTTCAGAGCTTTTCCCCTCCTCTGTTTGTGTCCCGAGCAGCCTTTTCTCTTAGCAGAAGTTTCCATTTCTCTGCTCTTGTGATTATTCACCAATTTTGCAGATGTTTGGTAATTAAAAAAAAAATAAAAAAAAAAAATTGGTAATTAAAAAAAAACGAGTTTCAAAATATGCATGTTGAAAACTTTCATAATCACATGATATTATTGTTTCTAAACTGGATCTTGTGTTTTGCAGCATTAATACATGTTCTGTCTGCCTGGGAATATTTGGTAGACAATAATGGCAGTGGTAGTACAAAAGCTGAAAGAGGTAACAGGAGGGAAAGAGAGTTCTGGGAGACTCTTTTAAACTCTCTTTTATTGTTGTTTATTTAAATGCAAATCTTTCAGCAAAAAAAAAAAAAA